AACCTCCAGCGAAAGAGACAATTGTAAAGTGAGATACTGACCTAAAAATAAAGAAGTCAGTATAAGAAACAATTGTAAAGTGAAACACTGACCCGAAAATGAAAGCACCAGTGAAAGAAACAATTGTAAAGCGAAACACTGACCCGAAACGAAACACCAGCGAAAGAGACAATTGTAGAGTGAAACACTGACCTGAAAACGAAACACCAGCGAAAGAGACAATTGTAGAGACACTGACCTGAGAACGAAAGCACCAGCGAAAGAGACAATGGTAAAGTGAAACACTGACCTGAGAACGAAAGCACCAGCGAAAGAGACAATTGTAGAGTGAGACACTGATCTAAAAATAAAGAAGTCAGTGTAAGAAACAATTGTAAAGTGAAACACTGACCCGAGAACGAAAGCACCAGCGAAAGAGACAATTGTAAAGTGAAACACTGACCCGAGAACAAAAGCACCAGCGAAAGAGACAATTGTAGAGACACTGACCCGAGAACGAAAGCACCAGCGAAAGATACAATTGTAAAGCGTAACACTAACCTAAAAATAAAAAAGTCAGTGTAAGAAACAATTGTAAAGCAAAACACTGACCCGAAATGAAACACCAGCGAAAGAGACAATTGTAAAGTGAAACACTGACCCAAGAACAAAAGCACCAGCAAAAGAGACAATTGTAAAGTGAAACACTGACCCGAGAACAAAAGCACCAGCGAAAGAGACAATTTTAAAGTAAGACACTAACCTAAAAATAAATAAGTCAGTGTAAGAAACAATTGTAAAGTGAAACACTAACCCGAAACGAAATACCAGCGAAAGAGACAATTGTAGAGTGAAACACTGACCCGAAAACGAAACACCAGCGAAAGAGACAATTGTAGAGACACTGACCCGAGAACGAAAGCACCAGCGAAAGATACAACTGTAAAGCGTAACACTAACCTAAAAATAAAGAAGTCAGTGTAAGTGGCAATAGTAAAGAAAAACACTGATCTGAAAAAACGAAAGTAACAATTGAAAAGCAAATTAAAGAACTATAAATAAAAAAAAAAATTTAACTTATGTAATTCGATCAGTGTAACCTTAAATACAAATTTTATTTTGATGCAATGGGTACGTAGTCTTTTATCTATTAGAGTTCGGTATATAAAATATAGTAAATTATTTTCTTATAAGGAACTTTTAAAATTTTTGCTATAAGAACTGTCAGTTCATTATAAGAAAGTAACTGTATGTGGTTTTTTTCTTTTTCATTCATATTTCGACAAAAAATAGAGATGGCTTCATATGTAGAAATACAAGAAAACATAATAAATAACATGCCCAGGTTATAGTGAAGTCATATCGAGAGTATACTTTCTTTTTGTTATATAATTTATGAGCATATTTTAAAACTCACAAACCTTTTATAGCTTCATTTGAATTATTTATTTGTGTTAATTTGGGTTCATAAATATAGATTCGTCAATTACAGCAGAAGCTTACTATAACGAACTTCTTTGGGTATAATAAACTATAGATTTTGTGATTTTACCATTATTGTTCATTTTAAATCTGCAAATATTATTTAGTAACTGAGTTTATTTTTAGAATACGTTTAACTATCCTGTATAAAAGTAGTGGTTGTCTTTTATAAAACAATTAAGAAGAGCATTTTTCATATTACTGTATACCCGATAGATATATAGGGAAAAACTGATTTGTTTCTGAATCTAGCCTAAAACAATTAAGTTTTCCAATTATATTCAGAATATTTTCAAGAGAACATCGGATCGCTAATATGTTATTGATTTTAACCACTATCTATTTTCAGATATGGCTCCATTTGATTTATGTATCAGTATACTTTCAATTATCTATAGGCCTATTCTGATTTTTTTATTTAATAACATATCCTGATATGTCTACGATTTTAATCTAGCAAGCATATTCCTGATATGGCTTCATTTGATCTGTGTCAGGATTTCCGATAGGCCTATCAATTAGCCCGATAGGCGTATGATTTTTAATAACTAATATTGGTGACATATCGACTCCCGATATGTTCCTGATATTTATCCGACATGTAAATTCCCGATATGACTTCATTCGACCTGTGTCTCCTCTTGAGATTATCACAAACATGACTTCATCATCAATTACCATCCCTCTACTGGCTTATATGGATGACACAACTTGGCACAATGAAAATTCGGCCATAATGCAGAACATTTTGAATGATACATCCACTTTCTACAAACTTAATAACATTGAAATTAATACTACAAAATCAGACCTACTTCATATGAAATAAAAATCTTCATCTCCACCACCTATACTCTATGCAAATAACTAAGCTATTACTCCTAGGAAACCTCATGATGTTATACGATATCTTGGGGTTTTCTATGACGGTAATGGCTCTCCCAAACCTACACTTGACACAATCTTTAACAAAATTGAAAATTTCCTTAATCTCATAAAATACAAAAAAGTAACACCCTCTCAAATATCAGCATTATTTAATTTAATTCTACAACCCTCTCTTGAATATCTGCTACAAATAACTCCAATTCACAAAAATATACAAACTAAATTATCTCGATTATTTACTATTCAATCTAAAAAAATACTACCACTAGCAAAAAATACTAATAATGTTACTCTTACTAATTCACTTTCTTTTAATCTGCCAACTCTAAATAATATTATTCAAAAACTAAGTGTCTCAAATATTGAACGCATATTCAATTCCTCTACTATTCTTAAGAATATTGGTACCCTTTGTATTAAAGCCTGGCTTACCAAAGTCTGGTCCCCTAGGCTTACTATTAATCTATTAAATAAATACTATCGCAAAATACACAACTTTACTTTAATATTTCACCTTTCACAATTAGCCAAACATAATATTTCCTTCTCTAACTACTCACAAATTTCACCTTATCCTACAAATATTCCTGAAAACCTACTCACCATTTATGATATTCTTCCTCCAAATCAACCTCCTTTAACAGTAAATAGTCTAAGAAATAACAAAATACTTTTTGTTAAACAAATTACAACTGCTGACAATACCAAACTTCTCCCATGGAACAATATTTATTTACATACAAATAAACTAGCCAAAGGCTGTCAACCCTTATAGTTTATACACATTTCTCAACTTAATCAAACAAATACTATATCTACAACTTGGCCTTCTCTTAATCTACCTTCTACAAATACTTTTATTAATACTATTGACCTCTTATCCACATCTTTTCTCTCTAATCCTTCCTCATTTTTTCAAATTTCTTATACAAATAATTAACAAATTTATCTTTCTCACCAAATTAATTCCACACAACTCAATATCTACAAAGTTACAAATTCAACACCTGGTCTTATTTCACTTACTTCCTCTACATTACCATCTTTACCAACTCTTCATTCTTTCAAACTTCCTTACAATCAACTTAAGTTTTATGATAATCAATTACAAATTGACTATCAAGAAATTTTAGCTCTCATTCA